ATCTAACCTCCTCTTGAAGACCCCCAGGGTAGGGGAGAGCACCACCTCCCTTGGGAGCCCGTTCCAGACCTTGGCCACTCGAACTGTGAAGAAGTTCTTCCTAATGTCCAGTCTAAATCTGCTCTCTGATAGCTTGTGGCCATTATTTCTTGTAACCCCTGGGGGTGCCTTGGTGAATAAAAACTCACCAATTCCCTTCTGTGCCCCCGCGCCACGAGCGTTCAAATATTCCCGCCAGTGGCTCTGCAATGATGTCGGCCAGTGCCTTCAGCACCCTCGGATGGAGCTCATCCAGGCCTGCCGACTTAAAGGCATCCAGTTCTTCCAAGTGACTCTGCACCATCTCAGGGTCTACGCATGGTAGGGGGGTAGGTGTGTGGTGGAGCACCTTTTGGGGTGCTCACCACTTGAGGGCTCTCAGGCTCCAAGGAGATCCTGCTTTGGAGCAACAGCTGGGGAAACCTTCCCCTGGTACCATTTAAAGGGAGAAGATGTGGGGCAGGGCACTGTGAGTGCCTGCCACTTTAAGACCAGAGCCAAGCAGCCAGCAGGTGCTTGACTGAGGCAGCCATTTTAGATCCCTGGATGCCTATATAAACAGCTCAGTTCCCTGTTGGCTGGTAAGGCAGCAACATTGCTTGGCTGTGAGGATCCATAATGCCTTGGAGGTAAGGGAGGAGCTGTAGGGGATGGATTGGAGTCTCCTGGTCCTGGGAATGACCTAAAACTGCACCCTGCTAGGAGTGTGTGGCCTGGTGGGGCTCTCAGTGGTGCAGGAGCCCCAGGAAATGCCAGGCCAGTTACCACCCCAAAAAGGTGGGTTGGGCCGCCTTAACCCCAGCTCCCACCTTTGGGTGGGTTGGGTAACTCTGGTGGTAGTTGGGGGCCAGGCATAGCTAAGGTCACCTGAGCCCTGTGGGGTGCAAGACTCTGAGAGACACTGAGGAGGGAGAGTGGGGGCCAGGCGCAGCTATGGCCACCTGACCCCTGTGCAGGGTGCAAGACCCCAAGAGGGAGAGTGGGGCCAGGTATGGCTACAGCCACCTGAGCCCACTGTGGAGCAAAGCCCTGTGGCCCTAAGTGAAGGGGGTGGTGTGAAGCCCCAAGTGAGAGGGACAGAAATGAGTAGCCCCAGTGAGGGGGTAGCCTCAGGTGAGGGGGGGCAGTGTGGAGCTCTGAGTGAAGGGGGGAGAAGAACCAGAGGGCCCACACACAGCGTTGTCCTGGAAGGGGCCTGAGCATGCTTAGACCCGGTTGGGGAATTGGCTGGCCACTGCCCTGGTGAGGGTTGTAGGAGAGGCCCAAAAGATGGT